TTCCATATTAGAGTCTCCTCCGGAACGACAACCTCAGATTGGCACAAGCTTGAGAATGGGATCATCACTTGGCTGTACTATTTCAGTCATCCTTTTTGCACTCGCCATGAACATGCTGCGTAAAATCTGCGGAAATACAGTGTAGGGGGCCCCTTTCGAAGTCTGGAGTTAGACAGCCACCCATCCGAGCCTTCATGGATGACCTGACAGTGACCACAACATCTGTCCCAGGCTGTAGGTGGATCCTGAATGGCCTTCAGGAGCTGATGTCCTGGGCTCGCATGAACTTCAAGCCGGCTAAGTCAAGGTCCCTCGTGCTGAAGAAAGGGAAGGTCATTAACAAGTTCCACTTCTCACTTGGGCACCACTAAGATTCCATCACTGACAGAGAACCTGTGAAGAGCCTGGGGAAGGTTTTCAATTGTAGCCTGAGAACGCAGCTTCCACAAAAGCGACCAACCATGACCTGGAAACCTGGTGGGCTGCGGTGGACAAGTCTGGCCTTCCTGGCAAGTTCAAGGCCTGGATTTACCAGCACGGCATCCTCCCTCGGATCCTTTGGCCCCTCCTGGTGTATGAAGTCCCCAATTTCAACAGTAGAAGGCTTCGAGATGAGGATTAGCAGGGTTTCTGCGCAGGTGGCTGGGACTGCCTCGAAGCCTGAGCAGCATCGCACTCTATGGGCACAATAATAAGCTGAAGCTTCCCATGAGCAGCCTGAGCGAGGAGTTCATGGTGACGCGCGTCCAGGGAGGTCTTACAGTATCGGGAGTCCAGAGATCCAAAGGTGCCCAGGCTGGGATTGAGGTCAGGACAGGGCGGAAGTGGAGGGCTGCCGTGGCAGTGGATGACGCAGAGTCGAGGCTACGGCAAAGGGTATTGTGTGGCTCAGTGGCACATGGGAGAGCTGGCCTGGGCAGCAGAAGAACTCCTCGCTACGATAAGGCAGAAGGGAAAGAGAGGAGGTCCCTGATCCTGGAGGAGGTGCGTGCCGGAGTTGAGGAGAAGCGAGCTTGCCAGATGGCTGGGATGCGGCAACAGGGCGCCTGGACAAGATGGGAGCAAAACACTGGAGCGAAAAGTGACATGGACTGAGCTGTGGAAGGCGGAACCACACAGGATAAAAATTCCTGATTCAGGCGGTCTATGACGTGTTGCCAAGCCCATCCAACCTCTTCTCCTGGGGAAAGGTTGAGACACCAGCATGCCCCCTCTGCCAGAGGAGAGGAACGTTGGAACACATCCTGAGCTGCTGTCCGAAAGCCCTGGGCGAAGGGCGTTACCGCTGGCGGCATGACCAGGTCCTAAAAGCAATAGCGGATTCTATCTGCAGTGGAATCAGGCCACAGCAAGAGCATTTCGCCCAGTGAAGACCACAGCCTTGTCAAAGCTGGGAGAAGTTAATACCAGCTGCCCGGGGCACCTCCTCTGGCCTGTTGCCAACTGCGCGTGACTGGGAGCTGGCAGTTGATCTGGGCAAGCAGCTGAAGATCCCTGAAGCAGTTGCCATAACAACATTAAGGCCTGACATTATGCTCACCTCGGAGGCCTCCAAGCAGTTAATTCTATGGAGTTGACAGTGCCTTGGAGGACCGTATGGAGGAGGCCAATGAAAGAAAGAGGGCAAAGTACTCCCAGCTTGTAGAGGAGTGCCGGAGCAATGGGTGGCGGACAATATGCCAACCAGTTGAAGTGGGATGTCGAGGGTTTGTGGGCTATTCCCTTTGCAGGGCCTACAAAATGCTTGGCATCACAGGGGCGAGTCAGCGAAGGGCCATCAAGTTGGCCACGGACGCTGCAGAAGCAGCATCAAGGTGGCTGTGGATCAGGAGAGGAGAGGCATGGCGTGTAGGGCAGTAGCGCTACCTGGACATAAGCTGGGACTTGATCACCCCAGCTGGGTCGCCTAGGGGAGGGGGTCTGATTGTTGAAAGACCCGAAACCCCCCGTGATCCTAGGTTACATCACTGAAGATATGTCCAGGTGCACCAGACGGTGTATTAAAAAACCTTTAGTTTTTTTTTTTTTTTGCAACCCTAAAATAATGTTCCCAAAATGTCACTGGGGGGTTATTTTTAAATAATACAGAACGTTAACGTTCCCCAGCGGCTATTTTTAGGTTATTTTTTAATACCCATGTAACTTAGGCCGGTTACAGCGGTAATGATGTCGGAGTAAAGATAGCCCAAAAACAAACCTTAAAAAAAATACGTTCTGGGAACCAAAAACTAACATTCAGGGAACATTTTTGAAACCAAAAATTGTTGGCTGGGATTTTATTTTTCAATCCTGTCAATCTATGTAATATCACTTTAACAAAAGCCAGTTCCTTTCTGACATCATCCTCCAGGAAGTGACATTATTTTGGAGGGAAAACAATGGCTCAAATCAGAAAGTGTTGTCAATAGATTTGCAGAATTCTGCGATGTTTAACATCTATTCTATAATAGGTGTTAAATGTTATGACTCATGACTGTATAATGTCAGTATTTCAAAATATAGGCTAGCTGAAAAAAATTGCAAGCTAACTTTTAATCATTCACTGAGCGCTGGCTAACTTTAGGTTTAGAGCATCTGTAAGCCTTTTAAAAAACGTGTATGAGGATTAAATATCAATAAAAACAACAAGTGATTAATACGTACTTGTTTGTTGAAAAGTCATACGCTTCACAAGAGGCTAAAAGGCCATCTTCATTGACTCCTCCAACCACAATGATCTTTCCTTTGTGGACGGCGACTCCAAACATGGACCTGGGTGTCTTCATGCCCGCCAGCTCTTTCCATTCTGACTTCTTGTGGTTGTACGCAAACATCTTGTTGATGGTTTTACTATTCCAGAGATGAAAACAAGCAATGCCACTTTATCTCAGGCTTTTATTTTGTATTTAATCTCATCTCAACTCAAATTTGACTTACTTTTCATCCGTCTTTCCTCCTATGCAGTAAACTAGTCCGTTCTGTGAGATCACACTGTGACCGTGAATTCTTAAGGGCAGTTTTTTGGTCTCCAGCCACTTCATCTTACTGCCAAGAACAGCAAAACATAATTAGTTTTGTGGTTTATGTTTGAAGCAGAAAATGTAGAAGAAACTTACTCAACATCATAACACATCACTGAGTCCAGAGACTCGCCGGTCTGCAGGTCTTTGCCAGCAACTGCAAACAAGAAGTTTTCAAACTCGCCCATGGCGAACAGACACCGGGGCGATGGCATCGGGGGCAGGGCAATCCAGTTTGGAGAATGAGTGTCCAGCTGAACAAAATGGATGATTTTAATTGATTTACAAATGTAAATAACTTTCATTCTATTCTTCCTGGTGATATAGGCCTTCGTACACATGCCTTTCCATTTAATTCTGGTTCCTAGAAATATGCAGTCATGCAATTGAATGAATAGTTCATCGTATCATCATTTACTAACCCTTATGTCATTCCAAACCACTGTAGAACACAAAAATGAGATTTTCACACTAGAAAATGTTAATCATCCGAGTCATTCTGAACTAAAACTAACACCATAAAACATTATTGTTACTTGAAATAAAATAAACAATATCTAAAAAAAATAATAAAAAATATTAAGGCAACATTTCACATTTTCATTTTAGTTTAACTTGATGTACTACATAATATGGAAGCTTGTTTCCGCCACAGAATGAAAAATAAAAAAGGTAATTTGCGACTTTTTATCTCACAATTCTGACTTTATTTCAAACAATTGCGAGTTCACATCTTGCAATTCTGACTTTATTTTTCACAATTGCAAGATAAGAAGTCAGAGTTTCGTGATATAAAGTCAGAATTGCGTGATATGAGTTTATATCTCACAATTTTGAGAAAAGTTGTCAGAATTTCGAGATATAAACTCGCAATTGTGTTAGAATTTATTTCTCAGAATTGCGACTTTATGTCTCACAATTCTGACTTCATTTCTCGCAATTGTGAGACAAAAAGTTGCAATTATGATACATTTTTTTTATTCAGTTGCGGAAACCATCTTCCATAACAATAACTAAAACTAAACTATAGACATAAAAACATAACAAATTTACTAAAACTTTAGCTAAAATGAAAATGGAATACATTAAAATAAAATTAATTAAATTATATACATTTATAAAATTATATATATATATATATATATATAGCCATTTATATTATATAAATAATGTTTCGTACTGTACATTGTAAATCCTGGGATAAAATTCTGATTTATGCGGCCAGAAAATATATATTCGATAAATAAAATTCTTATTGGGCTTCCTCTAATGAATGTGAATATTTAATATGGTTGCAAAACGTTTTATATATAATTATATAATGAGGCAAACCTGTGCATATTCTGTGAGTTTGACAGTACCAGAGTTAAAAGCAGTTCTAATTCCCTTTCAAAGGGGTTAAAATATGATAAAACCAGATTTTTTTTTTTGATTGAGTGTAAACTAGATTTCCTGCAAAACACCTTCATTATTGTTACAAGGAGAACGAGACATTTTGAAAAGACCATTATACTATAAATGACCGTCTTAACCTGATAAAAATAACACTGCAGTGGTGAATCCTCGTCGTCCTCATCCACAAACAGCCCTCCCACAACATAGAGCAGGTTCTTCTTTGACGTAATGCTAACGTGGTTTCGCGGTATCTGCTCTGCCATCGCCGCTAGGAAGCATTCGTTTTCATTAGCATCGTAGGCCACAGCCGCCGTGTCACTTATCATCAGTATGAGATCCCTGGTGAACATCCCCAACCGTTTGTTGTCATTCAGAAAACCGGGCAATTTATTTCCCTCTTCTTCGCCTTCACCTTTCGCACCCTCCTTCGTTTGTGGAAGTTTTCCAGCAAAAGCCTCCCTGATGGTATTCAGCTTCTTGAGGAGCTCAGGGTCGGCCTTGATGATGTCATCCTTCTCCACTTTCTCCTTGAAGTATTTCTCCGGGAGTAGTCGGAAGCGGATGTGCTCGAAGGCATCTCCCAAAGCGATCGCCCGGTTCTCCTTGTTCTTCCGGACCCATTTCATCAAGAGCTCGTAGACGACCTCTTCTTTCTCCACGTTCAGAGAATCACACCCGATGATGGCGAACAGCTCAGGAGCGTTGAACTCGAGAAATTCCTCTTCCCTGGACAAAGTCTCAAAACGCTCCGCTATGAAATCCCTAGCGGACACAGCGAGCCTTGGGCAGTCCAAAACCAGTCCCATTCTGTAGATGGCCAAGCAGTTCCCCAAAGACACCTTGTTTTGTAGATAGTTGACGCAAATGGTGAAAACAGATGGGATCTGAAACCTGTTGCCGACTGCGAAGATGTCTTGCACGTTCTCGTCTGTGATTTCGATGTCTGCGGAATAGAGATAGTGCACAATCATTTCCATAATGGCGGGATCCACGTTCTCCAGCACGACTTCCTTGCTGGAGTCTTTCTTCTCAACCCCGTCCTCAGTAAAGTACAGCTCTCGAAAGTACGGGCTGCACGCCGCCATTATGAGTTTGTGGCAGGGAAGACTCCGATCTCCAACCTTTAGAAAACAATCCACAAACTTGTTCTCCTTCAGAAGTTCCTTTAAACCATCCTGGAGAAGAGTGCTCTGAAAGAGCCTCAGGTCCTCCTTGATACTCACTGGATCCATCTCAAAGATTGCAGGTCTCAAAGAGGATGCGGTACTTCCTCTTGTCTCGCCGTCTCAAGTGTGCAAGAGGCTGAAATAACACAGCACCAACACAAACCCCCTGCAATTTAAGTACACCTCTCTAAATATAAACCCCTCATACCGTCAGAAAGAATTCAGGCTGACTAAACGGGAGCCGCATCAGGCAGCTGTCAAAGACTAAAAAAGACAACTGGACACACTCAGAGGTCAGGGGTGTTTTGCTCAAGGGAAAATGAGTGCGTGTTTGAGAGTGACGCATTAGTAGGAATTCAACAGATGTCTAAGGGTTTTAAATAATCATATAGGTGTGTGTCATTACTTTTGTTTTGCATGTGCCCTCATTTGTACGACTCTCAAAAAAGAGTTTATAGTTCTGACTCATTCGGGTTTTAGCCTTAATCCACGTCTGGAAATGTTCAGCCAAAAATGACTAAATTTATGCTATCTATTGGGTATTTGTTTGTTCTTTTTGGTGCTTTGCAGCCTATTAAATGCCTCGTAAGTAGGAAATAAATTTAATTTGACATTTTTGTTTCACAGGAAAAACAACCGCACACACGTTTGGATCAACATGAAGGTGAGTAAATAATGATTTTTTAAATATTTTGTTGCTTAAAGGGTCAGCAAACAACAGCTGCCGTGAAGCCAGAACGCAATTATCAGCGCCTCTGGTCATTGGTGATGTAGTTGAGCTCCTTTAATACATTTTTAACCAGACTTTGTTAAACCCAAGCTAAAAACAGAATGTGATGTTTGATCAGGCCACGGCTATCAAAACCGCTTAAACGGGTATTGAAAAACGGATTAAACACACACAAAAAATGTCCTATTTCACATTCTCTCATACTTTTATTACAACACAATAGCAAAATTAGCTTGTAAAGTTCTCACACAAAACAAGCTTACAGTTTCTAATATACAAATATACATACACTATATAATTGTATTTATTTATATGCGTACTTTGATATTTTTTTTCTCAACTTACACATGGTTAAAATATGATTTGTAAACATATGTAATTGTCAAATAGCAAATAAATATTCTGGAAATAAATGCAAATTTAGCTAATTACAAAATTCTTGATATTTGATGTAAACAATGTAACAAACTATGCAATACATACAGTAACTGTACAGAGTGCTCGGGTATTTTAACCCATGACTTCCCAGAGTCCCTGTAGTGTGAATCCATCCTTCAGTTTCTCTATAGCCAGACCCAGCTCTTCAGAAAACACCGGCTCACGATCATGTTGCTTAAGGAGAGGACAAAAATGTCATTTAAAAGGATCTATAGGCATACAGATGGATAGATAGATAGATAGATAGATGGACAGACAGATAGACAATATATTTACCTTATTTCCATCTGCAAAATAAGCCTTGAGATGAAAAAGAGACAAAAAATCAGTGATTATCTATGTAATAAAATCTATGGTAAATCTTAGATAACGATCATTTCCAATGTCATATATTTTTTATTTATTTTTTTCATTTGTGTATGAATGGGTGTATGAATGGGTGAATGTGAGGCAAATGTAAAGCGCTTTGGTGACCATTGGGTCTATGAAAGCGCTATATAAATGGAGTCCATTTACCATTTACCATGTCAGAATCATCAGACCTCTGCGTAAACATTGTTGATACCTGGCAACAAAAGTCTGTGTTGGTGGGACATTGTGAGTCGCGGCTTAAGCCGTCAGCTATTTTCAGCATGTGAGACAAACACACACACCGCCATGTGTTGAAAGCGGAGAGTCATTATCTCTGAGAGTAGCATATGAGGTAAAACTCACGGTAAAAGCATCAGTGTGCTCATCTGGCTCAATCTCCACGTCATCAGGCGGCTGCTCTACGGTCAGCTCCTCCAGAGGCTGAGGCTGAGAAGAAAGATCATTTATTCATATATTATGGATGGCAACAGTATTTGCCTTTGATTTACAGAAAAGTGGAGGCATCGGTAACAGAGATGCACCTCGGCTAATGGTGTTTTAAATACAACTCAGAATGGAATACCAATACAGTTCCAAAACAACTGTTTTCAATATTATCACACATATTCGTTATTACCTTCTCTTCCATCTCATATTCCACTCCAAAAATGGGGTTTGCAGAGTAGACTTTGTGTAAGGAGTTGATTTCCTTCACTGCATCTTGTAACTTGTCCATTGGATCGATCTTGAAACCCAGCACATATCCTCCTGTCTGAGAGATGAAAAAAAATAAAATTCAATTTTGACTTTAATTCACACCAGGGAATTAAATACACATGGAAAACAGTTCCAAAGTTTGGGGTCGGTAAGGTTTTTTTAAAGTGTTTTTGGAAAGAAGTTTCTTGTGCTCACCAAGGCTGCATTTTATTTATTACAGTAAAAACAGTAATATTGTGAAATATTTTTACAATTTAAACTTTTTTTTTTTTAATTTTATTTAAAAAGAAATTTATTCCTGTGATCAAAGCTGAATTTTCAGCATCATTACTCCAGTCTTCAGTGTCACATGATTTTTCTGGCGATCTGGATCCTGGCCCACACTTACCTGTTGAGAGCTCTCAATCACAAGAGCTAGTCCAAATTTAGAGTCTCTAATCCTTATGGAGCGCTTCAAACAAAGGGATAAGAAAAGAAAGCATGGTTTTTATTGATACAACTCATTACTGAGGGCTCATTCTTTGACTTTTTAAGGCAGAAGAAACACTCACAATTTGTAGATAGGGAATGCTGACATTGAAGCTCTCGTTCATGTTGGCATGCCACACTATCCTCACGTTAGTAATGAAAAACGTTCCAAGATTACCCTGAAACACAAGGGGATGCTTAGTTGCTCTCCTCTCGTGTGCATTACACATCCTTCCCTCGCGGGTCAAAATTTAACTTTTTCCTGGGAGATGTTTTTTTTTGTTGTTATTTATTCTTTTATTTACCTCCAAATTACTTTATTTTAACAAAACAAATAAGCACATTCTTAAATACAAATAAAATAACTGCAAATAAAATAAAACATTTAGTTAAACAATCCTGCATTGGGTGTATCTGCTGAGCTATTTAGGAAAGAAAATATATATAACATGGCATTTCATGACTATTGCCACTAGATGGCCGTAAAGCTCTAGTCTAGTCTACATGGAGCAAATGAGTATTTGATCTTTTTTTGAAAATTGAAAAAAACAAAAAACACCTTGCCCCATTTATTTTCAAGGCAATTTCTTGGTGTGTGTTTGTGTGTACATGTGTGTGTATGCATGCGGGTGTTCTGCATTGGGGATGTTTTATGGTCTCACCCCTTCATCTGTGCGTGCGTGTGAGTGTTCTGGATTGAGCCAGATTTTAAATAAAAAAAATATTTTCCACATTTTCCATTCATTTCTTTGGGGGTCAAATTGACCCATGAGGAAAGGATTTATTACTATTTTTTATCACATCCACAAAATCACCTTGAATCCAGTAATTTTTTTGTAGGTATTCCAATTTCAAGTGAGACAAAATTGACCTCTCCAATGAACACTCAACTTTTAAGAATTAAAAGAAAATGAATTTCGGGTCAAAATGACCCGAGGAAAGTATAAAGGTTAAGGTTACATAAACAAGTTTTAAATTCCTACTAAAAAAAATAAATAATAATAGTGTAAATCCACTGAAAATACCTGATCACTAGACAGGTTCCAGACTCCATTAATTTTGTCATAAACCTGCTCTTGTGGCAGAAGCCTCAGCTGCTTATTCTGAATAAGAGCTCCTCTTAGCTTCAGATCCCGATACATTTTGGAAGTCTCATAAGCTCTGCAAGAAAAAAGAAAAAATATATATTATATTATTGTATCCAAAACTTTACATGTCCTAGTAATCTTATTTGGATCAACTAAACAAATAAAAGTCATAAATGTATTCTATTGACATTCCAATACTTTCAACATGATCATTTTTGTTCCATTGTTTTTTTTTTTTAGCTATTCGTTCAATGCTTTATCTTGTGCAAAATTGCATTTCCTTGTTTTTTTTGACACTTTCCAATAATAATATTTCTTCTAATATTTTAAAAAGCTGCCCATATTTTTATTTGAAAAGTTACTAATTTAGTACATTTATAGTAAATCCAACCAATCATTTATCGTTTGTGGTATCTTTTGTGTGCTGTGCTAAAAAAATATAGCTTGTCGCTCTTTAATCTTACAATATATCATTTTTAAAAAGACTAAAACATATTTTGTTCTAACTCCAGTTCAAAATACTTTTGAACTGTTTACATTACAAATGTGGTATTTAATATTATGCAATTCACAGAATAAATTTCCTTGAGTCCTTTCTAGATTAAACTACAGATCTCACTATACTGTAGATTTAAAGATTAGTCCGTTAATAATCAAAAACAAAGCCAATATGCCAACTCAAAAAAAACACCTGTCACTCATCTTGTCAATATGTATAACACAAGTACCTGTGTACAGCAATGACAGATGTAAACAGTCTCGGACTTCCTGGAACCACGTTCGTGAATATGAACTCAAATCTAGTGTTATTAGATTTGGTTAATATGTAAAGCGCTTCGGTCTGACCTCTCAGTTTCTGGAAAAAAAGGGGGAATTTGACATCATCTGTATGGGCTATTAAAAAGTGATTCTGATATGAAGGAAGATGACTCACTGAATTTGCGGTCCTTGTGGTGATATTAATAATACAGTTGTATCCCACAGCTGTTAATAAACACAAAAGACTGATTAAATCACAAATACATTTTTACTTAAAAACAAGTAAACCTCAAAATTATGAAAACCTCAAAAGAAGGTTTTTGAGAGGGCTTCATCTGTCCCGTTCAATAAAATATGGAGTTTTAGATCTTTTCATTGTAGTAATTAACGCTAATTATATTCTGTTCAATAGAAGGCGACAAAGGCTCTCTAGAGGAGCTGCAACAGAGATTTTAATTTCATATTCCTCAAATACTCACACAAATTGACTCTTGGCAGTGCCAATGAATGCCATATTATCCTCAAATTGGTCACCAGGAGCCTTCCTATATGAAGACAAAACAAGACGTGACA